ACCCTGTTGTCTTCACTGTGTACATCGTAGATGATCAGTAAATCATCATAGCTGTTGCTGTTTTTACTACTATAGCTATTACTAATGTGAGAAATGGTCGATGACTATATACCAGGGAAAAGACAATAATAGCAATTGGTTGAGCACCTTTGTTATGGCAGGATGTTGAGTGCTTTACGAATATTAACTCATTTAATTCTCCCAGCTTGACCATCTACCGCATGTTGACCTGTGCTGGTTACATATGCTCATCTTTTTACGTAAAGTTCAGTGGGAATTGTAGCTGCTTCACTGCCTACTTCTGAGGACAGTGAGAGAAGCTACACTTAGGGTCACGCCAGTCATTTGGTTCATTTATAGAAACTGTGGGCATCTCACCTTCGTGAGCCAGTTCTGAACCCATGTTCAGGGAAACTCATGATTTGCCATTCTCTTGTAATTCCATTGCCAGAATACCCCAACCCCATTTGTAGTATCATTTTTAACTCTTGAGGGTCAAAGAAGGTAGGCCAAGCCTTGGGCAGAAATAAAAAAAACTCAGACATTTTGGCCCTGTCGTTCCCAGGATCTTGGCCAACCACTTGATTGATTTATGTTTTCTATTCTGTCCTGTTTGTGTGTCATTGTCTTCAAGTATGGCACCCACTTTAGTTCTCAGAGATTCATAAAAATATCTTTTTCAGCCTGAGATTTCTGTGCCTCAAAGGATCTGTGTGTGGCTCTGGAACCTTTTAAATCACTCTATTCAAAACCAGTCTGACTTTCAAAATTTTAGCAGTCTCAGTTTTAAGAATTTGTTTTTTTCTTTTCACACCTCTTCCCTTCTCATTTTTCACTACAGTGATGGAAGGGAGTAGCTCCTTTGTTTCTAGTAGTAACACTTGATACTGTTTATTCTGGTTTCATCCTAGAACCGAGTGTCTTTTGAAAAGGCAACATAAAGAAACTGAAAAATGCCTTTCTGTCTCTGAATTCCATGGTACTGGAGAGCCTGCTGCCTGCCTGTTTAATATTCATTCCCATTCCATCCTTTCTACCAGACTTCTGTTGAAGAGTGGCTGTGTGCTCAACTGAAAACACTGTTGCAGATTCCCTTGCAGCTACATGTGGTCAGATAACACAGCAAAGACACATGTGATGTTTGTAGGAGTCATTGGAGAGTGTGTCTCCCCCAAGAAGCAAGGGAAAACAAATAGAAAATCTTCACTCTTAGAACTGTCCTGCGCAGGCAGATGCATACCCAGCTTTTTATATGGCTTACTAATTCTAGCTAATTTAATTCTAGTTTTATTGTCAGACCGACCACATTGTGGATTATAACATTAAAGTATCTCACAGTCTAAAAATGAGTCTATTTTTACAAAAGCCAAGGGAAATTGGCCAAACACACTTTTGTATGGAGAGTTGGGAGACCTGACTTTAAGCCCATTTCTGCTGCCAGTTGGCTCTGTGGACAAACCACGTGACCTGGGCTTTCCCCGCCCATCTGCAAAGTGAGGTAATTTGAGCCAAATTGGTGAAAGACCACCAAAGAGCCAGCGGATGGAGGCCTGCAGAGTCTCTATTGAATCTGGCATCTTCATTCACCTTGCCAAGACTTTGTAGCCAGGAAGCCATATCCAGACTTTGTTGATTAGCTTTGAAAACTTTCCTTTCCTTTGGAATTTGCATGTGTTTAATATTTAATTTGGTCTTTTATCTCCTTTGTCTGAATTCTACTGAGAATTCAATTAAACGGATTATCTGTTTCAAAAGGTATACATGGTTCTATATGGAAACTCTAGGTATAATCACAGACTAAAATTAATGGGCTTTATATTTAGAGCAATTTCAAGTTCTCAGCATACTTGAGCACAAAGTAGAGTTCTCATATACCCCATCCTAGCATAGATTTTTAAAAATAATTCCTTTATATTAAGAAAAAGAAAATAAACATGCTAAGCTAAGGTGGCTTGTGAAATGAGCTTCATTAGATTTTTTTTCACCACTCCTCCTTGATCCTTATTAAAAATTGTAACAGATTTTTATAGTCTGATTTGATATCAAAATTTCTGATGGGCAACATTTTAGTATATTTAATCAATCCTCAAAGTAACATATGAAGTGGTATCTACTGCTAATTTTTAAATGTTAGGTACAATGAGCTTTCTGTTCTGCCATTCATTTTGCTTTTATTTGTTCTTTTTTTTAAGGCTGGACTTGATCTTTTCTAATTTTAATTTTTATTAGTACACGTTTGCAGTACATAAAGCTTACATTCATTGTGGGAGGTGGTACATGTCCATAACGAATCTTAATTCTTTTTATATCCCCTTCCCCTCCCCATTCTCCCTCCTCCATCCATCCCTTGGTCCTCTTCCCATAATACTGAAGACTTAATGAATAACCAGCGTGAATTCTTTCAAGGATAGTCTTATTTTAGGAGACATATTTCTGAGCTATGGTAAATAGAAGAAACTTAAGACTGCCTTTACAATATTAAATGAAACATTTTGCAAATTAAAGTTTTTGGTATCCTTTTATAAATTCAAGGAACAGTTATTCTAATATGATTAATGCTGTGCATGTCTGTGGATGAATATTACATTTTACTGAAATATCTCTCTTTGAGTTTGCATTGTATTATAATCCAATCCTCTGCAGAATAACTAGGTGCTAGTGAAACAAGATTCATTTGGCTTAATTATTTGGCTTTTATTGTTCAGCTTATGCCCTCCAGAGGTCATTTAGGCCAAACCCATGGTGTCTTATGTACTCTTGATCATCTCATAAACTGATTTAGTGTTAATCTCCTTGGACCAAACATTTAATTTTTCCAATTATTACTTATTAAATAGGAGGAAAAGCATAAGTTAGTATTTTGGATGTTTATACATGTGTCTGACCACCTGCTAACAAATGAGATGGGCAGTTTGAAGCCATTGGTCACTTCTGGCCTGCTGTATCCTTGAAAATTGGTATTCCTCAGGTATCGGGTATTTGTCCTACCTGCTAGGGTAGGTTACCTGACCTCAGAAGTCCTGAGGAGTCCACTTGGGAAAAGATTGTTAGTTTCCTATTAGATCATCTTTATTTCCAGTCTCCAGGTCTCCTGGGAACTTGTTTCATTTTTGTTTCATATCATTGTGTGTAAAAGCAAATGTGACATCATTTGATTATTATTTGATTTCTTCCCTTATAATCTATAGCTTTATAGTTTATCACCGGAGCTGTATTACAGTCTCCTGAAGTATTGGCAGCCTTAGATTTCTTGCCAGAAGTTTCTCACCTGGAAAGTGGGGTTTATAGGAGGTAGCATCATACAGCAACCAGATGCGATGGTGTAGTTGTGGCATTATCCACGCCAGGCAGTGGGCAGCCTATTCATCCAATAGGAGCATATTTGTTAGAAATCAGCCAGAGATTGAGAGTAATGATAAAAAAAGATAGATACTGTCTTTATTTTATGGCACTTGTGTTTATACCTACACGATATACTTTTCATCCATTC